TACATGTTAGGATGACTTGGGAGAGTGGCATTTGCTAGGTCCTGGGATGATAGTGCAGACAGTAGATAAGATAAAGATAATACGGGAGCGCCTTAAATCAGTTCAGGATAGACATAAGAGCTGGATGATGCTAAGAGGAGACTGTTGGCGAGTTCGAATCCATAAATGATTTATCTACTGATGAACTTGCTTGTGCTTCCGAAAAATTATTACATGCCTTTAACAAATTGCATAAAGATTTTATTGATTTACAAAACAAGCATGTTAATTTAGAATCCAATCATGAGTTGCTAGGTTCCAAATTGGATGTCATTACAAAAGAAAATACCATGCTTAAAGAAAACAATGACATGTTAATTTTGGAAAATGAAAAATTAACCACATCTATAACTAGCTTATCTCATAAAAAAGATAATGCCATGATAGAAGTAGAGAACATACAAAATGATACTGCTTCTTTCATAAATGACTATTTATGTTCTACTTCTAATAAAAATGCATATGTGCCAAATGATGAGTTGAATGTTGTTAAAAATCACATTTCATCTTTAGACTCAACTCTTAATACATGCATTGATAACCATAAGAAACTTATAGACAAGTGTGCTAAAATCCCCTAGGTTACCCTAGTGGACGAGTTGTAGTCTCGTGAGGGTTTGCAGTGAATATACCCACAAAATTCGGTCAACTTGCCAAGTTAAATAAGTCAGTAAATAACAGATTTTCCTTGATATATTTAGTCATTCTAATTGAAGCTAGTTAATAATCAAGAAAACGTTTTTATATATAACTCCAATGTAAATCCCCTAGAAAATCTTTTTCATTATAGCAATACAAAACCAAGTCAAATCTTAGAAATTTAATTAAAAAGTTTTGAAAAGAACATGCCAACTCTTTGTTTTAAATAACTTTCAAGTCTCTTGATCAAAAATTATTTTTCAAGACCATATATACAAAACAACAATATATAAAAACAATTGTTAGTGTTATATATATGTATATTTTTTCCACTCTCTAATTCTTGGTGATTGTTTTCTATTTTAACGGGCTTTCTAAGTGACCATTTAACGAGTTTTGGGCCAATGAATCCCAACCCAATTGGGCTTAGGTCATTAAGTATAGAGATACTCCTTGGGCTTAATTGCTCAGTCAACTTAGGCTTTATAAGATAGAATCACCTTGAATTTAAGAGTTTTTATTTATTTATTTTTTTTGGGTGGTGCCCATTTTTCGCACTCTTCTTTTATAAGGTTAGTTTTTTTTAATATATATATGTGTAAGTATATATAGTCTTTAAAAAAAAATATGTAAATCAAGATAACTTGAAAAAAAAATATTTTCAACTCTAAGTTAAGCATGCAAAAATTTCATTATTTTAAATAAAAGTCCAAGTTAAGGCTTAAGTAAAGTATACTACTTTGAAAATCATTTCTTAAGAAATTTATTTAGAGTTATCATAAAAGGTGATCTTAAGTAAATAACCAACTAGGGATTAGAAAATTTCAAATAAATTAATTTTTACTTAACTCTATTAATTTGGCAAGTGACAATATTTTTATAATTTTTTTTAACAAAAAGAAAGAAAAATATAACTAAAAAGGTAAAATAAAGAGAAAAATATGTATTTCTCACCCCCACACCTAAATTTTGCATTGTCCTCAATACAAATTCGCTGAAGCACAAAGTAAAGCAGATAAAATAGAAGAACTTACAGTTGTTCGGTTGACAATGATGATAAGGATCTGCAATTACTGTTAGTATGAGGATGAAGAAATCAAATAAGAGGAAAAATTGTAAGTAATTATTATTTTTTTATTTTATTTTATTTTTTTATTTTAACCTATGTTACTTATTCAAAAAAAAATTTTGTTATTTTTTTTTAATAAGAAAGAAAAGAATTTTTTTTTAAGAAACAAAAGATAAAGTATTTTTTTTTTTTACAGATAATGAGGTTCATGAAGAACCAATACCTCTTCCTCTCCGAGCGTAGAAAATTCTAAAAATGGTTTCAGACGTTGACCATTTATTTTAAAAATATTACCATTTTTAGGATTTTCTATCT